TCTAGAATATCGTAAAAGACATCATCCTGGCCGAGATTGCCTGAAAAAAACTAGTTGCCAAATGGCCATTTTTAAACCAAAACCATGGGTTAACCGCTGTGGAAAAATGTCAATTTTTCGACTTTTTTAACTTCTTTTTTTTATTGCCTAGAAAGACGTTTTTTCGTTTTAGAATATCGTAAAAGACATTTTCCTGTCCTATATTGCCTAAAAAAAAAAAACTTCCTAAAATAACCATTTTTGGACCAAAACCATGGGTTAACCCCTTTGGAAAAATGTCAATTTTTCGACTTTTTGAAGTTCTTGTTTTTATAGCCTACAGAGGCGGTTTTTTGCTCTAGAATATCTTAAAAGACATTTTCCTGGCCTATATTGCCTAAAATAAAAGAGTTGCCAGAATGGTCATTTTTGGGCTCAAACCATTGGTTAAACCCTTTGGAATAATGTCAATTTTTCGACTTTTTGAACTTCTTGTTTTTATAGCCTAGAAAGGCGTTTTTTCGTTCTAGAATATCCTAAAAGACATTTTCCTACCCTATATTGCCTGAAAAAAACAAGTTGCCAAAATGACCATTTTTGAACCAAAACCATGGGTTAACCCCTTTGGAAAAATGTCAATTTTTCGTCTTTTTGAAGTTGTTGTTTTTATAGCCTAGAAAGGCGTTTTTTCGTTCTAGAATATCGTAAAAGACATTTTCCTACCCTATATTGTCTAAAAAAAAAAAATTGCAAAATGGCCATTTTTGGACCAAAACCATGGGTTAACCCCTTAAGAAAAATGTCAATTTTTCGACTTTTTGAACTTGTTGTTTTTATAGCCTAGAGAGGCGTTTTTTCGTTCTAGAATATCGTAAAAGACATTTTCCTACCCTATATTGCCTGAAAAAAACAAGTTGCCAAAATGGCCATTTTTGGACCAAAACCATGGGTTAACCCCTTTGGAAAAATTTCAATTTTTCGACTTTTTGTACTTTATGTTTTTATAGCCTAGAAAATCGTTTTTTCGTTCTAGAATATCGTAAAAGACATTTTCCTGCCCTTTTTTGCCTAAAAAAAAAGAAGTTGTCAAAATGGCTATTTTTGAACCAAAACCATGAGTTAACCCCTTTGGAAAAATGTCAATTTTTCGACTTTTTGAACTTGTTTGTTTTTATAGCCTAGAAAGGCGTTTTTTCGGTCTAGAATATCGTAAAAGACATTTTCCTACCCTATATTGCCTAAAAAAAAAAGTTGGCAAAATGGCCATTTTTGGGCCAAAAGCATCGGTTAACCGTTTGGAAAAAGGTCAATTTTTCGACTTTTTGAACTTTTTGTTTTTATTGCCTAGAAAGGCGTTTTCTCGTTCTAGAATATCGTAAAACACATTTTCCTACCCTATATTGCCTTAAAAAAAAACAACAACAACATGATATTAATTTGAGGAGGACTCGGAAAAAATCCGAGTCCCAGATGGGATTTGAACCCACGACCCTCCGTGATCTAGTCGGATGCTCTAACCACTTGAGCTACTGGAGACTCTATGGTGAGCAAGGGCCAATTTGTGGGTCTCGACTGGAACCGCATCACGCGGCTACACAGCCAAGTAATGATAGGCACACAAGAAGTGAAGAACTCACTAACAGCATCGCGCTGTCACCTTAAAGCATATCCAAGTGCGGCCACAACCTCAAGTGATATATTGAGCGCATCTTGGATATGCTTTAAGGTGACAGCGCGATGCTGTTAGTGAGTTCTTCACTTCTTGTGTGCCTATCATTACTTGGCTGTGTAGCCGCGTGATGCGGTTCCAGTCGAGACCCACAAATTGGCCCTTGCTCACCATAGAGTCTCCAGTAGCTCAAGTGGTTAGAGCATCCGACTAGATCACGGAGGGTCGTGGGTTCAAATCCCATCTGGGACTCGGATTTTTTCCGAGTCCTCCTCAAATTAATATCATGTTGTTGTTGTTTCATCTTCAAAAAAAAACAAGTTGGCAAAAAGGCCATTTTAGGACCAAAACCATGGGGTAACCTCTTTGTAAAAATGTCAATTTTTCGACTTTTAGAACTTCTTCTTTTTATAGCCTAGAAAGGCGTTTTTTCATTCTAGAATATTGCACAAAAAAATTTTTCCTACGCTATTTTGCCTAAAAAAAAAAAGTTGCCAAAATGGCCATTTTTGGACCAAAACCATGGGTTAACCCCTTTGGAAAAATGTCAATTTTTCGACTTTTTGAAGTTCTTTTTTTTATAGCTTAGAAAGGCATTTTTTCGTGCTAGAATATCGTAAAAGACATTTTCCTACCCTATATTGCCTAAAAGAAAAGTTGCCAAAATGCCATTTTTGTACCAAAACCATTTGTTAACCCCTTTGGAAAAATGTCAATTTTTCTATTTTTTGAATTTCTTGTTTTTATAGCCTAGAAAGGTTTTTTCTTGTTTTAGAATATTGTAAAAGACATTTTCATGGCCTATATTACCTAATAAAAAAGGTTTCCAAAATGGCCATTTTTGGACCAAAAGCATGGGTTAACCCATTTGGAAAAATGCCAATTTTTCGACCTTTTGAACGTCTTGTTTTTATAGCCTAGAAAGGCGTTTTTTCGTTCTAGAATATTGTAAAAGACATTTTCCTACCCTATATTGCCTGAAAAAAAGAAAGTTGCCAAAATGGTCATTTTTGGACCGAAACCATGGGTTAACCCCTTTTGAGAAATGTCAATTTTTCGAGTTTTTGAACTTCTTGTTTTTATAGCCTAGAAAAGCTTTTTTACGTCATAGAATATCGTAAAAGACATTTTCCTGGCCTATATTGCCTAAAAAAAAAAGTTGCCAAAACGGCGATTTTTGGACAAAAGCCATGGATTAACCCCTTTGGAAAAATGTCAATTTTTCGACTTTTTGAACTTCTTGTTTTTATAGCCTAGAAAGGCGTTTTTTCGTTCTAGAATATCGTAAAAGACATTTTCCTGGCCTATATTGTCAAAAAAAAAAGTTGCCAAAACGGCGATTTTTGGACAAAAGCCATGGATTAACCCGTTTGGAAAAATGTCAATTTTTCGACTTTTTGAACTTCCTCTTTTTATAGCCTAGAAAGGCTTTTTTTGGTTCTAGAATATCGTAAAAAATATTTTCGTGGCCCATATTGCGAAAAAAAAAAAGTTGCCAAAATGGCCATTTTTGGACGAAAACCATGGGTTAACCCCTTTGGAAAAATGTCAATTTTTCGACTTTTTGAACTTCTTGTTTTTATAGCCTAGAAAGGCGTTTTTTCTTTCTAGAATGTCGTAAAAGATATTTTCCTGGCTAATATTGCCTGAAAAAAAGTTTGAAAAATGGCTATTTTTGGAGCAAAACCATGGGTTAACCCCTTTGGAAAAATTTGAATTTTTGGACTATTTGAACTTGTCGTTTTTTTAGCGTAGAAAGGCGTGTTTTCACGTTAGATTTAAGATATTTTTCTTGTTTTGATTACCTGAAATTAAAAGATGGCGAAATGGCCAATGGTTGACCAAAGCCATAGACTAACCCCTTCGGAGAAATTTCAATTTTTTTTTTACTTTTTCACCTTCTTGTTTTTGGAGTCATGAAAGGTTTTTATTTCTTTATAGAAAATTCTCAAATACATTTTCCTGGGCTATTTTGCCTGAAATAAAAAGATAGAAAAATTGCCCATTTTTGGGGAAAACCATGGACTAACCCGTTTTAAAACATCCTAATGTTTGGACTGTTTCAACTTCTTATTTTTACAGTTTGGAAAGGGTTTCTTCTTTCTAAAATATTCTCAAACACATTTTTCTGGTGTATTTTTCGTAGAATAAAAAGTTTAAAAAATTGCGAATTTTTAACCAAAACTATGGACTAACCCTTTTAGAAAAATTCCTGGTTTCTAGAATCTTTTCCTATAATTATTATATTTTCACTCTTTGCTATGTTTGGCCAGCCACATGTCACAACTCTAGCATTGTGTAACAGGGTTAGAAGTTGATCATAATTTACATAATAATTTTTATTTTTTGAAAAAAAAACTATGGACTAACTCTTTTGGAAAATTTTGATTCTTTTGCGTTTTTGAAAAATTTATTTTTCTACCCCAGAAAACAATTTTTTGTATCCAGAATATCAACAACGATGACGAAAACCATGGACTAACAAAATAAACCTAGAAATGGGTACAATACCTTCTCATGACCTGTGCAGACTCGAATACCATACATGTAGCACCAATGCACATCAAAACACATCCTGTATGAAAAGCCTCCTGTAGGTTCTTAATATGTTGGCCGTCCATTGATTCAAAGGATGTCTGCAAGAGCCACATGATGCTAGCCAAGAGCAATGCAGACAGCTGGGAAGCATTTGCAAGTGACAACAACATGGTAATCAAGAACGGCACCTAGCCGGTGCTTGAGGTATTCGATATAATATATATGAGAGTTTGTGACTCAGGATACAGAAAAACGTTCACTCTCGGTTTTAACTAGGGTCCATACTACAATCTAAGTGGGTTAGTTTTATGGAAAATGTAATTGTGAGCTTTAATCCAATTTTTGAGATATCTTAGCTTTTTGACAGAAATATAAATACATAAATACTAAAGTAATTAAAATAGGTTTGCTTCTTTTTTTCAGGAAAACACCACAGGGAAGTCTCAAAAAGGAATCTACGATTCTGATAGGTACATTCCCATAAACAGTACTTGGAGAAGTATGAAGAAGGAAAAACAAGTAGACCACAAAAACTGAGTGATATTGAAATTAATTTATTCAAAATGTTTGCCATGCTAAGTGAATCAAAAGTGCGGGTACTCATGGCTAAGAAAGATTAATCATTTACGTGTAGAAATTCACTAAAACTGTGAAGTTTAAGAAACAATAACCCACAGCAATGAACAGTAGTGTGGCAAGGTCACAGGTATCAAACCGGTTGATTTTCCTACATTAACACATCCTTTAAGTCCAGTACAGAGACCAATACCAATTTTACCCAGTTCTCACAAATGTACGAGATCAAGCAGTCAACTTATTGTCCAAGAGCTTTATTTAAGGCCTCTAGACACTCTACAGCAATTTGAGCTTTGGCCTTATCTTCTTCTCCAGATGCACTGGACAGATTTTGTTGCGCCTGTTCTAGCTGCTGACTGACGGCCTGTAAAAAAGAAAACAGATAAAAATATTATTATTCACACAGTTGTTAACTCTTACTTACAGAAGAGATCAAAGTCAAAATTAATTTAAAACAAGTACACAAATTTCACTTTGCAAAATAAAGAGCAGTAATTTTCATAGCAGCCCATCACCCTTGGGACAGTTACATGTATGTACAGTATAACTCCTGAGATACCATATTTATTCGATTAAACGACACCCTTGATCAAACTCCACGGATGGAAGCAAAATTCCTAATAAACGCCGCCCTTGAATCAATACCGCACCCAGTCAGAAGAATGCTGCATTTACTCGAGAATAACAAGAAAAAACCTTGGTACAACTTCGTAATTTACCCCATTCAGACATTTAATTTCGATTCTATCGCAACAAAATAAGAGATGATTAGGACCTTTAAATTACATAATATTTACAAATGATTTACAATAACTGTTGTCAGTTAAAACTTTTGGACAGCCCTGAAAGCAAATGCAAATTTTGAGATTTTTCTATTTTAACAATGACTTCTAAAACGGCACATTGTAAATTGCAACTGCACTGGAAACAAAGAAGATTTAATATTCAGCGATATTTGACAAATCGTCTATTAAACCAGACACACAAAGCTTTGCGTTGAGAGCGAATTTGTTTAAATGTGTTTTGTCTAGAGTGCAAGCACATGTGTCACCGACAGGCAGGAAAAGTTTCTCATGTCTCGTGCTTTCACTATTGATAACATCCTAAAAATATTTAAAAATTTTGAAGTTAAAGCGTATTGAAAATTATTTTCTTTTCACTCTTTGGTATGTTTGGCCAGCCACATGTCACAACTCTAGGACTGAGTGACAGGGTTGGAAGTTGATCATAATTTACATAAGTATGTAACAATATGGGTGTAAATTTGAAGGAAAAATGTTTTGAAACCATGTAGAGGTATGCAGTGTTTTTTGTTTGGCAGCTACAGGAAATAAAATTTGCTATCAGACAGCAGGAAAAGCCATCTCAGAAGAGTTTAAAATGCAAAATTTCCAAGCTCATTTTCAAGCTCTTTCCAGGAAAGGGCTTCATTCTTTCAAAATATTCTCCTGTTACTTTACACTATTCTCCTGCTACTGCAATTCTTAATGAAAACCCTGATATATCCTTTTCTTTTGATTATATTATTTTGATATATGTACAGAAGGTCTAGATAGCAGCAACAATATAGATAGTCGTATAAACATAACAACTTTCTTTAATTTTTCAGATGTGTTTCGACGGTACATCCGTCATCTTCAGTGTTACATATTTTGAAATCGCCGTTGAATTTCGAGCGTTTTTAAACATCTGCAGGGTTCAGAGTTTTGTAGAGCATCCTGCACACCAGATTGCTTCGAGATCCTAGACTCTGCAGCCACTAAGTACTAAGTGAAGCTTAAGGAATCCATGTTTATAAAATGTGAGAAGCCCGATCTCAACCAGCAGGTGAAACACATTAACCTGACTCTCTCCCTGTAAAGAACTAAGCGTCACTCATTTAATTTTGTTTTAGTACGCAATATCGACAACACAATGTAACGAACTTTGTAAGATCGCGCGCGCTTTAAATTCAACGGCGATTTCAAAATATGTAACACTGAAGATCACGAATGTACCATCGAAACATGTCTGGAAAATTAAAGAAAGTTGTTATGTTTATACGACTATATATATGTACAGCCAGTAAAAGTCTCGCAGTGTACCGGTAATTTAACAGAACACCCAGACAGAGTCTTACGTACATGCACAGCCTCAATTATTAGTGTCTCCCTTTCTGATGAAAACCAAAACAAATTGAGGAATGTGAGAAGAGCAGAGATGCTAGCTTTTCCTAAGAAGCACATGAGCCTCCCTTCTTTCGTATTCCCCTCAACTTCTCTATTTGTGCTTCTAAATAAAGACACCTCATCAGATTTCTGTGACTCTTTGATACTAGCCCCAGCTACCGGTTGGTGATAATGTCAAGTCACTATCACATGCAAAAACTGTACAGTGGTTGGATCACTGGTCAAACACAGAATGAATAGTGATGCACAACAAAGCTGACAAGGTACACTACCATACACTGTACCTGTGGGTCAAATCTTTCTAAAGGATGGGCTTCCTCAGCCAGGATTTGAACTGTGGAGTCAGCATTAATGGACACTGTTCCACTGCTCGCTATTAACAGAAGAAAAGATTATCTTAACATTATTTAATGCATTCTATTCGTGCACCATTTACAGGTACAGTAGAGCGTACATTGATCACTCAGTGTGGCCAAGGATCTCAGGGTTCTATATACATTGTAAGGGCTGGCCTATTTCACCAGGAGACAATTGTCAATTAGCTATAATGTGAGGCTGAAATACAGTTGAACCTCTTCACAATGGCCACCTTTGGCACAGAAAAAAGTGGCCATTGTAGAGAGTTAAACAACAGTCAATGCATGGATTGTCTGCCAAAAAAGTGGCTGTTGAGGAGAGGTGGTTGTTAGTGGATGTTTGACAGTAATAAAAACAAAAATTTGTAATTTCTATCAATTCAAATGATTCTAAAACATCCTCAAACATTATTTCTTAGTCCACAATGTCATATACTTGACACAAAATATTTTAAACACAAATCAGGGGTTACTGGTATATATCTCCAATTTTACTAAACTTTCAAAATTGCATAGGGTAGGGAAGGGTAAAAGCAAGGCATTTGTGACAAAAATAGTAATTCTTTACCCTTTAAAGGGACTTGTTCACCGTTCAGTGCATGCTCATTTATCAAAATGCTGTTTTTATGCCGGCACATGCTGTATCATGTATGCAAGCAATATGATGTCATAATGTTGTCAAAGAACCAATCTGCACACTCCCCTGGCAGTCACTTGATCAACTTGTGTGCAAATAGCTGTAAATTAACCAGCCATGGAATAAAACCTTCGGCTCAACAATAAATTCAACGTTGGTAGTGTTGGCTTAATCCACTAATGTTTTCTTCGATTTTATTACTCCTCCATCCTACTTCAGGTTACTCTAAAATACACTTCTACTTTGAAATACACTCTGAGATTGCTGAGATACATGTGAGTGGAATTATTAACCGATAGAATTAATAATGAATTGGGACAAAGTAATTTAATTAATGAGCATGCGCTTATCCTGAACCTCCCAAGAGTGACCAACATCAATTTTCTCCTAACAATAACAGGTACAAAAAAAATATCTGCGCAAGGGAAAACTAAATGAAAAAAAATTCATGCACGTCAATATTCATGCTATGGCCTAAAAAAAATCATACAAGGAATTTGATAATGACAAAAAATTCCTGTGGCTCGAAAATTCCCCACCCCCCATAACATTTCTAATGGTCCGTCCATAATTGAAAGAAAAGTCTATGAGAATCAATCAATGATCACCTAAGGGAAAATGCCTTTATCTTTGAACAAATTCTCTCAACTTATTTTTTATGGAAATATCTTGAGATCACTTTGGGAGAATTTGTATGTGGATATTGGGACTTAAAGGGTTCAGAAGGCATCCTGAAAATAAATGGTAATGGAAAATAATTATTGAATGACTTTCGCGGACTTTTGTCCAAGATTGTAGGTGACAAAGGTTGATTACAAACACACTGATATTGAAAGGTTGAGTGATAAAAGAAATAATAATCATTTTTATTTATTATGATAGAAATAACTGTGGCCTGTAATACTGACCAAAATATTTAGTAGCACCTCCTTCATCATGTATTGTGAGAAGTCCTGGTTTTAGAGTAGCCAGGGTGGGTACATGGCTTGGTAGAATGCCAAAGCTTCCAGTAGTAGTAGTTACATCAACTTGCTTCACATCAACTTCTGAATAGAAGGTCTAAAACGACAAACATTTGAATCGAGGACTCATTTCATATTTAAGTAGGTGGAATACAATCACCCGCATGAGTGTAGTTCTGATCACGACTGTTGTTGCATTCAAGTCTTTTGTTTGCTCCTTCCCTTTCTTTCCCTTGAGGGCAGGTCTGAGAATACATCATACCTGCCAACCCCCGGAATACCAATATCTGGAGAGATCTAGAAATCTTTGCATTGTAAGAATGTCATTCTCGACAGTGTCTGAATACTTTCTGAAAATTAACTGAAGGTCTTCTGAATGTTCCCGATGTGGATAACAGCATGCAAAAACCATGCCAACTTTCTACAATGTACTGTGCAATTTGATTGGTTGTTTTCTAACCAATTATGATACTAGTTGATTGCTCTGTTTTATGTTTTCTAATCAAAAAAAGCTCAAATAAGAGCACTAAATCCACTTCTTGTTTTATTTTCCTTTTCGACATCTTGGGAAAAAGGTGTAAGCACAGTTATAGCAAGCAGCGCTTTCAGTAACGCCTGGCTAGAACTCTTCAGGTACAGTGGTAACACTCGAAAGTACGCTGACAGTCTCGACTTAAGACTGGATTGTTGCTATGAGTTTCAAGATGTGAGAATCAAGTCTTGAGTCAACTGTCAACTTACTTGTGAGTGGTACTGAATTTTGTACTTTACAATAACTGTGATTTCCTATGGGCTGATTGGTCGAGAGCTATGGTCTAGTGGGAGTATAGACTGTAGAAATGGCACCATTTGTTTTTCTCTGCCTCTTGAGCATGGTTTTCCAAAATATGAATGTGAATATGGCTAACTATTATCACACCTTGCCACTGGCATGTTTGCAAGACAGATCTCTGTGATTTAGCCTTGAAAATTCCATGCTGACAACATACGTAGATTTGCTTGAAATTTTCTTTCTCCTGGTCAATTACCATCAATGTCGAGTTCTATTATGAATTGACACCAGCAAAAGCAAAACTTATTTCTTGTCCGGCAAATATATGGAAAGTGAAGAAAATATTGTTTCCTGGTAGCTTCAGTGTGCTCTCCACTGACTTTGTGACCTCTTGTCTCTCAACTGAAATTGCAGTTGACAAGATTCTGAACAGATTTCTATCAACAGTATGAAATATTATTGTATTCTTGATTCAAGGAGCTTACTCTTGCAAAACACCACCAGCAATAGAGACTCAAAGCAATGAAAGATGTTATGTTGTGGCAAACATAATTACATGTTTTTGTAAAATAAGCAGTAACCACATTTCCTTCTACTCACATCCATCACAGCTGCCATACTATTTCAAGGCCGTCAAAATAACAATTTCAATACTTAGAAAGGCTACTGCAGAAATATATTGGGCATCTTCGCCTAATATAACCCAACAGATACTTTCTGTATTAAAGTTTTCCTACTTCAAAGACAACATGCATCCTACAGGTAGATTTTTCTAGTAGCCAAAGATTATAAAATAGTTATCTCCTTGTCAAGAGACAGTCGAGCTTATTTTAAAACTGCATTATATAACACGTCTGGCTCACCACGTTTCCACAAGACTACTCTGACTTTTTAACTACTTACCTCTGTTGGAGAACCAAAAGTTAGAGCCATACCAAAGCGTCCTACAGCAGCTTCAGCAGCGAAACATCTCCGTAAGATCGCGGACCCTGGTTGTCCAAAAAGACGAGGAACGGAACGAGAAAATGAACCCAACATCTTCAAGGCAAGATGGCGGCGACCAAGGAACACCCACAAGTCTGTGCGCCGAAAATTAGTACCCAGCTCCCCTATAATTTTTTATTCATCGCTCTTTTGCTAAGAAAGGGAACGAAAAAGTCCACGATACTTTTAATTTAGACTGCAATGACTGATTTTGAAACGCAGAATGGCTTCCCGCCAATGAAAAATGATCTGATTTTGCGAGCAGCCCGTGGGGAAACAACTGAGAGGGCTCCCGTGTGGGTTATGAGGCAAGCGGGGCGCTATCTCCCAGGTGAGTTGCTGAGTCAAGATCGTGATTTTACGCTCGGCACGCAACTAAGATTTCCAGTTACTGGTCTAGTTCCTGCCATAGGCTGGATAACTTTGTGATTTCTTGTTATCCTAGTTAAAGCTCCCTTAGCACTTTTTGTTGTTGTTTCATCGGTCGGGTCATTTCAGCTGACTTTGATGCACAGGATACCCAAGCGCAAAATGAAGGCAAAAGTGGCGTCATTTAACCTTTTCCCATTCAAGTATTGTACTCTTACAGTGAGTTTAAGGGGGAAATAAAGCTGTTGAATTGTGGCAGTTGTGGTAACATGACGGAGGCACCCATTCACCCGACATATCATGGACACATTGGATAAACTCCACTGTAATTGCTAGAGAATGACATGTCAGGAATGAGGCAGAATACAGCTGTACAAAGTCAAAAGCTGTTATACATATTTGCATGGGGCAGGAGGAGAGATCTCAAGAGGGGTTAGGGGGCAAAAAAACTTTCCCTAATGACATGCCAATAAGTTAATATTTTTTTCTCAGAATTCCGTAAATTGAAGGAAGAAAACAATGCTGATTTCTTCAAGATGGTTCAAACTCCTGAGTTGGCGTGTGAACTTACTTTACAGGTAAAACAAGTTTTGATTATTTTGAAATCTGACTTTTAGGATGCATCCACTTTGCCAGGTCTATTTATTATGCAACACTTGAAACCATAATTAGTAAATTTCAACAATGAATAATTGGATCAGGTATATACTGTGTTTTCTCAATTAATTAATAACGTTCTTACAGTGTATTTAATACTTGTTAGAGCATGAGTGCTTATTTGTGGAAATATGGTAGATTATCTCCCAAATTATCTCACCTTGATGTTGGTACTTTTTGCAGCCTATAAGAAGATTTCCTCTGGATGCTGCTATCATTTTTTCAGATATCCTTGTCATTCCTCAGGTGGGTAGACATTTACTTAAGTCCTCCTGTAATATCAAGATGCACATTCTCCTCACTGTTCTCCATACGTTTTTTATTTGTAGTGCTTGAGAGAATTAGTTTAAACAGCAAAGACATCTCACCAGCGCTGATCATTGCACTCATTCCCACTGACCTGTGCATGTGATCTGGCAGTGGTATTGTGAGGAGAAATTTGATACTGGTCATACTTCAGAATGACTTTGGACATGGGACCAGAGTGTGATGGTGGGGGGGGGGGTTGGGGGTTGGGCAGCAATAGTTGCGTACAGTAAATTGTTGTAATAATTTGGGAGTTTGAGAAACTGAATCCTGTTACCCTTAATCAGTACTAATGAGTCTTTGTTACCTTTTTTCTGTTTTTGATTCAACAGGCTCTTGGAATGACAGTTCAAATGATCCCTGGAAAAGTAAGTCCTAACCCCCTATCTGTGTGTAAGATAATGACCGAGCAGATACTGTAATATGTTCCTTGTATACTGTACAGACATGCATGTGTGAATACGAAATAATAATAAAAACCACATGACTGGGTTAAGTTATATTATATATATATAATTTTATTAGAAATTAAAAATTTTTGGATGCAAAATAATTATTATAGTTTTTTTCTTCAATATTTTAGGGTCCAGTTTTCCCAGATCCAATCAGAGAACCAAGTGACATTGAGGTGACAATTATCTTTTCCTGAATTATTTGCTCTTCATGGGTGGGAGAACACTCATTTTACTGTGCACAATATTGTCTACTTCACAGAAACTTAAACAGGAAGTTGATCTACAGAAGTCACTGGGATATGTGTTTCGTGCTATAACTCTGACAAGGGTTAAGCTGGAAGGCAAGGTTCCCTTGATTGGTTTTTCTGGAGCACCGGTAAGAAAAGTGTCACTCAATGAGGCCAGTCTTTTAGTGCTTCAAATTATTATCCTCTCCTATTCCTTTACAACAAAGTTCATAGAAGTTTCTACTAAGAACATGTGTTTGTCACTCTATTTTTTATGTTTGTTCGAATGAATGTAGCAGCGTGCAAAGAAAGTAGTGGCCGATAGCGCAGGGCTTGTGGATTTTGCTATCGGGCTAGTGAATTTTGTCTTTAACTTGCCCGACGGGCAAGTGATGTTTTTTTTAGGAATTCAAATAACAGAAGAAATGTGAAATCAATTCTGCTAGTCAAAAAGTTTTTGGGGCTAGTTGAAATGACATCTGGGCTATTAAATGCTAGATTCAGCTTGCCCAAATGGCAAGCTGTAAAAATGAATTTCATTGAACCCTGATGTAGGTTTCTGGGAAACTGCCCACCTACGCCTCCCCTAACCCATCATTTTGCCCAAAGTAAGAATTAAGTGTTAATGTTAGCTTAGGGGAGGGGTAGGTGGGCAGTTTCCCAGAAACCTATTGATCCATTTGTTCACTATAAACAAAATTAATGAAGGCTAATAAAATAATAATAATTATCATTTGGAAACTATATTTATTTATTATTAACTCTCTTCTATGTATTAAACAACCACCCTCTATTTAGCTGCCCGGTAATAGAGTCCCTGCAGACAAAATTGTCGGTAATTAAATTCACTGTAAACAAAACCTCTATATATAAGGCATTAACTACTTGTCCCTTCCCTGAGGGTGGGTGGGTGTTAAATAGAGGTTTGACATTACAGTTTATGACAGAATAAGGATTATTTTTGCAAACATGTTTCACAGCCTGCATGGGAATGGAGCCTGTTTGATACGAAACCATTAGTACCATCAAGTATATAGTTCTTTAGACTCTTGTTATTTAACAGGAATCTTCTATTTAACTTATTGTTGAGTGTTTTCTTTTTGAAGTGGACCCTTTTGTGCTACATGATTGAAGGAGAAAGTAGCAAGACTTTCAACAAAGCTCGTAAATTCTTACATCAGCATTTAGAAGTTTCCAGTCAACTTCTGCAGAGGATGACAGATTTAATTATTGATTATCTGGTGCTACAGGTCCGAGCTGGAGCTCAGGTAAATATTATATGCAGTTAATAATTATTTATTACAATTATTACCATCTGAATCATCTATTCCCAGATTTGAAAGGTACGGTACCTGTACAGTGCTATCCTCCCCCCCCCTCCCCCTATAAAAAACCCAACAAACTGTTAGGTAAGGTAAGGTAAGGTAACGCCTTTATTTAAAGAGGGGAAACACGTGACAGTTATGAAAAAAACTGATAAACTTGTGACTGCATGTTTAATTACAATGGAAACTCTCCTTTAGCAACTGCCCGGACCATGACTAACCAACTAGCTATAGTTAAGGTCAGCCTTACCCTGTTTGAACTGTGTCTTGAGCTTGATCTGTACTTAAGTGAAAATTCATCATTAAAAGCTCTTGTAAGGGACCATTATCTGTATGTGACCTCGACTGAGAAGTTTTACTGTGAAATAAAATTTGACTTGTAACATGGTCTTACATAAATTTTGATTTAACTGCTAGGTTGATTCTTAATTTAAGGAAACTGAGAAGCAACTTTGGTTAAGATTTTAGCCTTAAGTCAAATTTGACCTGTGACAACAACAATAATATTAAAACATCTGTGCATAGGCCTTGTAACCCACAGGTAGGATTTTTTTGCTGCTAATTAATTATTTGTCTCATTTAGATGCTGCAAGTGTTTGAGTCTCACGCAGAAGTGATAGGTTATGACACTTTCACACTTTGTTCACTGCCATACCTCAGGCAAATTGTTGAAAAAGTGAAGGAAAAGTTAGGATCTGATGCTGTCCCAATGGTGAGCTGCCAGCTTAATAATGTTGAGTCTTCAGACTAATTGAGTGAACATTAAAATGTACATGAAAAGATGGTCTAGGGGTTTCTTTTTATATTTATTTTATAGAAATGATACTACACAAAATCCTATAGGGTTACATACTACTGAAATAAAACCATTGGGCAGAGCATTTGTGTGGTCATCATGATACTTATTTTTTGGAATTTTACAAAAAGGAATTTGAAATTTTTGTACATTTTATCCTTTGGCCATAATAGACAAAGACTGTAAGGATTAACAACTATTTTAAAAATATTCTTTTTCTGCTGCAGACAATTTTTGCTAAGGGTGCACACTATGCCATTAAAGAACTTTCTCAGACTGGATATGATGTTGTTAGCTTGGACTGGACAATGTCAGCTAAAGATGCAAGGTGAGGCAAGAATTATTGTAAACCCATCATTATGATGCTTAACCCTTTTAGCCCCAGATATCCATGTACAAAATTCTCCAGACTAATGTCTCGATACATCGCCTTAAAGAATGTTGAGTGAATTTGAAAAAAGATCAAAGAAATTCTTTGGTGATCAATTTCTAAATACTCATACACTTTTCTCTTGATGATGTGCAAACAATGTTAGGAGAAAATTGATGTTGGTCACTCGTGGGACTGAAAGGGTTAAAGGGTCTTAAGTGCAGATCGGCTGGTATGTATTTTGGTGCAGAGTTGCCCTGCAGAGGGGGACATACTAAAAGATATAAATATGCATGTACTAGGTAACGAATGCTGCTCAAAGGTCAGGGTTTTGAAGCATTTGGTCTGGAAATTATAGGGTATCACTTCAGGAAATTTGATCACTTGTGAAGAGCATAACAGGTTCTGGTTCATACATGTAGTAATTAGTCTTGGATAGGGTAGGGATTTTGTGCCGATAATGTCTAGAATAGCGTACTTGCAAAATGCAGCTGCATGAATCTGGTATAATATATAGGTCCACAGTCCCAGCAGACAGTACACTCTGTTCCAAAATGTCATAGATTAGCTCCTGATGTATCATGCTGATCGTGTAATGAGGCCAGCCCTGTTAGGGTAAAACTTCAACAAGCAAGATGGCCTTGAAACAGAGACCTGAGACACCTAAAATGGTGAAAAAAGACACAAAGATGGGTAAAACTGTGACCCACCTTAACAAAGAAAATTGCCAAAATAACAACAGGGATATAGGTTCCTCCTCAATACACGAAAAGATGGGTTTTGAAATTTAGACTAGGGACATAAGTATCACCCCTATGAGGGCCTCTGTGATTACTGGGTGCCCAAAAGAATGCTACTACAGCTGTAGCTGCAGCCTTGTGCCCTACCTTACTTCTCTGATGCTATCCAATGATCACGTTATTGGATGTTTAGTCTCCATCAACCATCACAGCAGATTCCTCAAGAGACTGTGGCAACCCTTTGTTTTTGCAATCCTGCCGTCCTGTACCACTGAATTAATTTCGTGCAGTAAGAGATCGTAATCGATTAGGAATCGACTAGCTGCCAAGTAGAATTATATTGTCCTCAAACTGTGTTGTCTTACTTTGAGTCAGATCATCATTAGGTAGTACTGCCACTTTGCTCTTTCAGCTGCAGACATCCAATCTGATCCCACAAATAAATTCCAGTTTACTGAGGTGCTATCTACGTCACGTACTTTAATGAGTAACATTTTTGTTGGTAGGATTGTTGCACCAACTGTGACTCTTCAGGGGAACCTTGATCCAGCCGGTCTTTATGGAAGCCATGTAAGTAATAAGTTAAATTATTATACATTTTACTCACTCTCTGACTTCTCATTGGCTAAGACCCTACACTTACCGGTAATTTGGAAATCAGCGCAACCTAAAGATTAGTTAGTTACAGTGGAACCCTGTTAATGCGACCACCGTTGGGCCATAAAATCCTAGTCGTAATAACGAGGTGGTCGCATTAACGGGGTCTTCAAAATAATAAAATGACTCAATGGTTTTTACGTTTGGTTTGAAAGAATATGGCCGTAATAACGAGGTGGTCTTATAAACGGGGTGGTCGTAAGGCGAGGTTCCACTGTACCTGCTAGCAGATTAGTGATTAATCTGTAGGGTGCAAGCACATTCTTGATTTCCAAGACCAATGTCAAAACTGTGTTCCATGTAGTGCTGTGTTTGTCCTTATTTTCTTCAAAACAATGTATAATACAACTATTATTAGATTCAGTTCTTGTGCTATCAGGAATAATCATAGTCTCCCCGTGAGTTATCAGCCTCGGCCTTACCTCGGCTTTGACTATTGTGCATGTCACAAAAACCTTATCCAATAATTGTGTATTAAAATCCCTATTCATCGCTGTTTCTTTGCTGGTGGCTCTTGGTAATTTTGCATCAATTTCATGGTACATTAATACACCATATAAGAGGGCCAGATTTGTAAACCTATAAAGTCCAGTTGAAAATGTTTTTGCATAAATATGATTTAATGATTTTAATGGTTCGCTTGCTTTTGCAGGAGGATATTCGTTATGCAGTGAAGAATATGCTGAGAAAGTTTGGTACTCAACGTTACATCGCTAATCTAGGACATGGGATGCATCCAGACCATGATCCAGAAAAACTTGCCACTTTCATAGACACTATCCATTCCTACTCAGAAACAATGAATGAAAGAAAGCTTAGTGGTGACTGACATTACAACCCTGAATCATGAGGATAGTTAACATTGATTCTTTCCCATATTGCTGTCAAAATTTCTTTAAGTAAAACTCCATCAAAATAATTATTTTTGACTTTGATGTGCTAGTCAGTTTGGAAAATAAAATAAAGTTTCATACATACACTCAAATCTCCATGTCATACCACCTCCTATAACCAACCACTTATCCAAAACACCAAAATTTTCCCAGGCAAAGCCTTATAGTTGGAATCTCTAGTAAATGACCACCATCTCGGGTGGTTGCTTACAGGAGGTTTGACTGTACATGTACGTTATTTTTGTAAAACCAGCAACATGTTGTCACACCACGCCACAAAGACAACTGTGCCGCGGAACAGCATTGTCTGTGGCTACACAGGCCAATGTGGGAATGACAGTCTTTGCTGCAATGCATGCATATATGAATATTTGCCTCAGTATCTAGCTGCCTGTCTTTTCTTTTTTGTCTCGTTGTTTCTTGTTTTTCAGCGACCTCAGGCTAGTTTCAATGTATTGGACAGTTACGAAGGTAATTTCTTCCAAATCACAGACACGCTAACAGAGAAACTTTGTATTTTGTTGCATTGTTAAGATAAAATTATTTATGTTTCGATGTATTTTTCCTGAAGTAAAGTAATCTAAAAATAATTTATGGACTTCAGTCAATAAAAGCAACAAGAATTTTGTTTGGAGTAGTATATGTCATTAGTGATACTGGTAACTTGTGGTGCCACTAGTTGCTTCAGAAAACATCACAAGCTGTTGTGTTAAATTGGATTAATGACTGATTGGATAGTGAATAGATGTTCACCCCACGGACAGAAATGCTTGCGTCCTAAATCAAACACCACATTCATATTTGAATGTCAAGCAATTTTATTCAATATTAGTTCTTGCAAATGAATGTACCAACACAGGAGAGTTTTGAACTTGCTACGTCAATTACAACCTAAAAAAAGTTTACTGTATAATTGACATAAAGTGAGCACCTATCAGCTGTCAATTAAGTTACATTTCACAACAAATTTTGTACACAACTCAAACCACCTATCAGCAAATCAAATTTGTTACAGCAGTTATTTCAAGAGCTCAGAATTTTAATTTTAAATACTGTATAATCAAACAGAGGCAACTTGCAAGTTTAATCACACTATTTTACTTAATGTAAAAACGCCGTGTTATCGACACCTACACACACACATGCATACTTTTTTTGAGTAGGTTAAGAAAGAGGCAGCCCTAGGCTGATGTGGACCTTTTTTACCTGTTTAATATGTACCCTTCAAGAGTCTCTGACAGGTAGTTTCCTTTCTCCCCAGTGCGGAAAGCCTTTACACCCCTATCTTTCACCTACTTGCCGGTTATACGGAAAACACTTTTCCTGTCCAATCAAAAGATTCTAATAGAAAGTGCTAAATGTAGACACTTCTTTGCTAACTGAGTGTTGTAATATGTCTTACTTTTTCTAATGGTAAAACTACACCTTCAGGTGACATCATGACAACACAGTCCACTCCCTCTCAAAGGACCTCTGTAAAACGGACACCTAGAGTTTGCCTTTCTTTATTCCTTTTATTTGACTCAGTTTATAAGATGGACATCTCTCTAAGACAGACATCTTATTCTAGTGCTCGTCCCAAAGGTGCCTGTCTTAGAAAGAGTTGACTGGTTAAGATGGATTTAAGATGTCTGTCCAATTAGCACCGCATGAGTTGATCTGCAGATCAGTACTGTTTGTGATAAAGCAATGTTTATAAGAGCCACTTTTGAGTGTTTTCATGGACGTGGTCTGTGGAATTATCAATGGCTTTGTGTAAGTTAGAGATGTTTAACCTTGCTATAAATGCTGATGGCCTGTTTTATTTCTTTAAAATTTTTGAAGTTGTGAATATATGAAAATCATGGATGAAAACTGCAGGGTGAAGAATTACATGAAAGATGATCTTCTTTCATATAATTCTTCACCCTGTAGTTCTAATATATGATTTTCATATATTCATAACTTTGTCATCATCCTTTCATGGCTTTATAACGAACCAATTCAATGACCTGCAGCCAGTTGGCTTGTTAGCGCAATTAGTAGAGTGCTGCACCAGTATTGCAGAGGTCAAGGGTTCAAATTCTGCACAAGCCTGAATTTTTTCAGGCTTTCTTTTCGCATCCGCAAAGGTTGCTTCTACAACTGTGATGATCTTCTTTCATACAATTTAAAATTTTTGTTCCAATAAAAGGTGTTTTTTGGACTTACATTTATTTAACATGAACCACTTTATACGAACACCCCATTGATATTAGGGAGCTTAAGCAAAAGTGTTTTTAAGTGATGCATGTCAACCAGAAGTAAGGCCCTTTCCTTTTTAACACACCTTGATTCTACCAAATTTGTCAAACCACTGCCCAAGAATGCATGAAGTCCACTACTGATTGGAATGCATCACTCAAAAACATCCTTGCATAATAGCTCACTACTGTCACTTTCTACAGTCCCCTTTTCAGCGGGGATTGTCTCTACAGTAGACTCTCTCTTGACAGACACCTCTACAAGATGGACATCTCTGTAAAATGGACACTTAGAGTTTGTCCCTGCCTTTCTTTACTCCCTTTATTTGACTCTCTATAAGATGGACACCTCTCTAAGACGGACACTTAGTGCCAGTCCCAAAGGTGTCCGTCTTAGAGAGACTTGACTGTATTTCAAAATCTCTCTACACATAAATAATTGCACTATTACTAACTTAGAAAGTGTTTAGCACTGAAATATCACCACAGTTTTTTTATTATTTATATAAATGTCTGAACTCATTGAGCCTAATAGCCTCATGTCCCTTGAGAAGAGCCCACGTCCTCAACACCAACCTTAGTATCCCATTCTGAATTCTGAACAGGCATTTTATCCTTGTTTGACTCCATGATGGCCCTTTTCGGAGGCTTTTCATCTGCAGCCTCTTCATCTGCATTCTCAACAGGACCATAAACCTTCTGTTCCTGCTGGCTCCTGCCTCCTTGAACTGCAAGCTGAGCACTTTTCTGATGGTATTCAAGGATTGTTTCCAAAAGATTTAAGATCTCAGTTTGCTTGTCATGAATGTCACCTTGCAATGGAACATTGACAACTGCTTCTCTTTGGTGTACAGCATTGTTAATTTGCGCAACAGTTTCTTCCACATTTCTAAACTGATTTTCTAGCTGTCGTAACTGGGCCTGGAAGTTACCAGGGATAGCTGGCACAGTAGTGAGTGTTACAAATGGTAACCTTACTTGTAATCCGCTCAGTGTGAACATGGCAATAATAATAATAATGATGACTGCTATAAACACAAATGGCTGCCACTGAAGGGGGACTTCTCTAAACAATGCACGGAAACTTTTGCCTAGAGCCTCAGCGAGTTGCTCAAATGGCTGAGCAACAATAGTTGCGACTGTCGCAGATAATGCCTAGAAAATGTTACAACAAAAAGGTGTCAAAATAAATTCACATTAATAAGTAAATATAAATGTGATATTAATCCTAATAATTACTCAATCTTTCATTCACTATTTTGACTAGGGTGACTTGGCTTACCACAGTGTGACTCAGGGCTTATTCTAGACTGCAGCCTTGCTGGATTTCCGCAATTTGTAAAAAAGTGATGCATAAAATTTACGTTTGCCACGTTTAATGGGGTGCAGAAAAATAGACCCAAGGATAAGTACTATTTTTTGGAAATAAAGTATTCGAAAACATCACTCGCAACAACACTGATTTGACGGTCACTCCACAAAATTATTTTGAAATTTTATGGCCTCTTACTGTCTCAATTGCCTTTCTCTTCTTCCTTTGAGTCATTATTTCCCCAGACAAACATCCGGGATTCTGCAGTAATTGGAGCCCAGCCTTCAGTTACCCAGAATATTCCAAAATGGCTACAAAGCATCCAGGGAGTGCGAAACATGTAGAATTTAAAAACTCACAAAAAGCAGTCAGTTTCTTTGGATTTGGATGTAGCAAAGAAGCTTTTCATTTACGTTAAAGCATTGGAGTCATGTTATCCTAATGTTCACTACTTGCAAATATGTAAATGATAATTCCAAAAAGCATTTGTTTTCTCACAGAATAGTCTGTACCAATCAGTTCAAATAACTTTTGAGAAGTCGCCTTTCTTCAACCTCTTCTCTTGAAAAAGGGCACCCTAAATTTACAGAAGGGGGCCCAGTTGACGCTCATTGGCCAATTTCTAGAATAAACCCTGGGTGACTTGCGTGACTATGATTACCTGTTTGACAGTGGTAAAAAGAGTGACAAAGAACACAAGAGTAGTAACTGTCACTAAGGTAATTGGAAAAAGGGGGTGACTGGCATAATTAAGGTAATTAAGTGACTAGGTGACTAGGGTGACTTGTGTAACTAGCATTGCAGTATTTTGCTGATCAGGTCTTTAAAGATCCTACGTTCTTCAGCATATTCGTTTGCGGTCCTTTGCAGTTCTTTTGTGCTTAATGTTTGTACTTAAATAATTCTTGGGCCGTAGATCTTTATAGATCCGATATGCTGTAATTCTTGCATGGTTCTGTCCATGTTTTTGAGGTTGGTTTTGGCAAATTCTTTATTTTCCCTGCGAGACATCAACTTGACACTTGGACTCTTGCCCCCCAGAAGACACGTGGTATGCGTGAAACTGTGGGTGTTGAGAGTTCTGGGTCAGGGCTTGAAATCAGAGTGCGCAGATATTTTTCATCAGAGCTTTCTCTGGTTGTTGTGCCACACTGAAGAGCCCCAAAAAGGGCAAAAGGTGACAGATGTGACTCAGGTGACTTGGGTGACTAGGATAACTTAAGTGACTTGGCTGACTTGGGTGAAAAAGGTGAATTGGGTGACTTGGGTGACTACAGTGACAAGGGTGACACGGTTAACAGGGGTGACTAGGGTATGTAGGGTGACTAAAGTGACGAGATTAACTTGGGTGACTAGGGATGACAAGGGATGACTGGGATGATGAGGGATGACTAGGGATAACTAGGATAACTAGGGATCACTACCGATGACTAGGGATGACTGCCATAACTAGGGATAACTGGGATGACTAGGGATGACTGGGATGACTAGGGATGACAAGGGATGACTAGTAATGTTTAAGGATGACTAGGGATGACTAGGGATGACTGGGATGACTAAGGATAACTAGGAATGACTAGGGATGACTAAGGATGACTAGGGATGACTAAGGATGACTAGGGATGACTAAAGATGACTAGGGATGACTGAAATGACTAGGGATGACTAGGATGACTAGGGATGACTAGGGATGACTAGGGAAGACTGGGATGACTGGGGATGACTAGGGATGACTGGGATGACTAAGATGACTACGGATGACTGGGATGACTAGGGATGACTAGGGATGACTAAGGTTGACTAGGGATGACTAAGGTTGACTAGGGATGACTGGGATCACTGGGATGACTAGGGATGACTGGGATGACTAAGATGACTATGGACAGGGATGACTGGGATGACTAGGGATGACTAGGGATGACTAAGGATGACTAGGGATGACTAGGGATGACTAAGGTTGACTAGGGATGACTAAGGTTGACTAGGGATGACTGGGATGACTGGGATGACTAGGAATGACTAGGATGACTAAGGTTGACTAGGGATGACTAAGGTTGACTAGGGATGACTGGGATGACTGGGATGACTAGGGATGACTAGGATGACTAAGGATGACTAGGGATGACTAAGGATGACCAGGGATGACTGGGATGACTAAGATGACTACGGATGACTGGGATGACTAAGATGACTAGGGATGACTAGGGATGACTAAGGTTGACTAGGGATGACTGGGATGACTGGGATGACTAGGGATGACTAGGATGACTAAGGTTGACTAGGGATGACTGGGATGACTGGGATGACTAGGGATGACTAGGATGACTAAGGTTGACTAGGGATGACTGGGATGACTGGGATGACTAGGGATGACCAGGGATGACTAGGGATGACTAAGGTTGACTAGGGTTGACTGGGATGACTGGGATGACTAGGGATGACTAGGATGACTAAGGATGACTAGGGATGACTAAGAATGACTAGGGATGACTAAGAATGACTAGGGATGACTGGGATGACTAGGGATGACCAGGGATGACTAGGGATGACTAAGGTTGACTAGGGATGACTAGGGATGACTAGGGATGACTAGGGATGACTAGGGATGACTGGGATGACTAGGGATGACTAGGGAAAACTGGGATGACTGGGGATGACTAGGCATGACTAGGGATTTTTTATTTTTATTTTTTTTATTACAGATTCACTCCACTGCATAACAAGCAAATAATGAAATGAAATAAGCTAACACTACTTTAACAAACAAAAACAAAAACAACAACAACAACAAAAAAAAGTTGTGGAGAAGGAGACAACCAAAAGCACCAATGCGCCATACTAAGGATGCCCCCACTACTTAACATATAAGAAAAATATATACAAATAGAAATATAAATGTTCTAGTTATCCTTAATAAAGCTTAACACATTTCCTTTAAAAGTTGCAATACTGTTTGAGTCTCTAATATGATTGGGTAAACCATTCCATTCATCTACAACACGGTTAAAAAAACTATATTTAAAACCATCAGTTCTACTAAAATTTGGAACAAGGTCCTGTGTGTCATTTTTCCTCAAGTTATAACCTGTATTTCTGTCCTTACAAAATATGACCTTATTTGAAATGTCAATATCATAATGTCCACTAATTACATTAAAAAAAATGTAACATCTCTAGTGAACCTCCTATTAGATAATGACAACAATTTTAGCTTAGATAGTCTTGTATCATAATCATCATTAGACCTAGTGATCCATCTCGTAGCTCTTCGCTGAACAGCCTCCAGTTTATCAATTTTACGCTTAGTATGAGGGTTCCAAGTTTCGCATGAATATTCTAATAAAGGTCTCACAAGACTACAATAAAGTGTGTTCATGGTATCAATATACTTTAAGTCCCTACAAGTCCTCTTAACCAACCCTAAACCCTATTAGCCTTAGCATTTATTTTATCTACGTGTTAGTTCCATGAAAGATTACTAGTAGTAAATAATCCTAAATCTTTATACACATCAACACTTTCCAAAGGTTGACCTTCAATATTATACTCCCCAACTAATGGTGACTTTTTCCTGGTTATTCGCATGATCTTACATTTCTTGGTATTAATTCTCATCTTATTTATCTTACACCAATCTGAAATTTTGTCTATGTCTATGGCATGACTAAGGATGACTAAGTATGACCAGGGATGACTTGGATGACCAAGATGACCAGGGATGACTGGGATGACTAAGGATGAATAAGGATGACTAGGGATTACTGGGAAGACTAGGGATGACTACAGATGACTAGGAATGACTAGGGATGACTATGGATGACTATGGATGACTAGGGATGACTGGGATGGCTGGGATGGCTGGGATGACTAGGGATGACTGGCATGACTACGGAGGACTAGGGATAACTAAGAATGACTAGGCATGTCTGGGATAACTAGGATGACAAGGGATGACTAGAGATGACTAGGGATTACTGGGATGACTAAAGATCACCGGGATAACTACGGATGACTAGGGATGACTAGGGATGACCAGGGATGACTAAGGATGACTGGGATGACTAGGGACGACTGGGATGAATACGGATGACTAGGAAGACTAGGGATGACTGGGATGACTGGGATGAAAATGGATGACTGGGATGACTAGAAATAACAAGGGGCAACTAAGGATGACTAGGGATGACTAAGGATGACTAGGGATGGCTAGGATGATTGGGATGACTACAATGACTATGGATGACAGGGATGACTAGGGATCACTAGGGATGACTAAGGATGACAAAGGATGACTAGGGATGACTAGGGATGACTGGGATGACTAGGGCTAACTAGGGATAACTAAGAATGACTAGAGATGACTGAGATGACTAGGGATGACTGCGATGACTAGAGATGAGTGAGATGACTAGGGATGACTAGGGATGACTGGGATGAAAAGAGATGACTGGGATGACTAGGGATGACTATGGATGCCTAAGGATGACAAGGGATGACTGGGATGACTAGGCACGACTGGGATGACTAGGGATGACTGGGATAACAAGGGAAGACCTGGATGACTAGGGATGACTTGGATCACTAGGGATGACTGGGATGAATAGAAATCACTAGCAATGACTAGGCGTGACTAGGAGTGACTAGGGATAACTAGGGATGACTAAGGGTGATGGCGATGACTAGGAATGACTAGAGATGACTGGGATGACTAGGGATGACTAGGGATGACTGGGATGAAAAGGGATGACTGGGATGACTAGAGATAAAAAGGGGCGACTAAGGATGACTAGGGATGACTAAGGATGACTAAGGATGACTGGAATGACTAGGGGTGACTAGCGATGACTAGAGATGACTAGGCATGACTGGGATGACTGGGATGACTAGGGATGACTGGGATGACTAGGGATGACTAGGGATAACTAAAAATGACTAAAGATGACTGAGATAACTAGGGATGAATGGGAGGACTAGGGATGACTGAGATGACTACAGATGACTAGGATGACAAGAGATGACTGGGATGACTAGGGATGACTATGGATGCCTAAGGATGACTAAGGATGACTGGGATGACTAGGCATGACTGGGATGACTGGGATGACTAGGGATACCTTTGATGACTAGGGATGACTGGGATGAATAGAAATCACTAGGGATGACTAGGCATAACTAGGAGTGACTAGGGATAACTAGGGATGACTAAGGGTGATGGCAATGACTAAGAACGACTGGCATGACTAAAGATGACTGGGGATGACTAGGGATGACTGGGATGACTAGGGATGACTAGGGATGACGAGGGATGACTGGAATGACTAGGATGCCTAGTGATGACAGAAATGACTAGGGATGACTGGGATGACTAGTGATGACTAAGATGACTAAGGATGACTGGGATGACTAGGGATGACTAGGAATGACTTGGGATGACTGGAATGACTGAGATAACTAGGGATAACTGGGATGACTAAGGATGACTAGGGATGACTAAAAATGACTAGTGATGACTGGGATGACTAGGGATGACTGGGATGACAAGGGATCACTAGGATGACTAGGGATGACAGGGATGACTACGGATGACTGGGGTGACTAGGGATGACTAGGGAAGACTGGGATGACTAAGGATGACTAGGAATGACTAGGGACGACTGGGATGACTAGGGATGACTAGGGATGACTAAGGGTGACTAGGGATGACTAAGAATGACTAGGGATGACTGGGATGCCTAGGAATGACTGGGATGACTAAGGATGACTAGGGATGACTAGGGACGACTGGGATCACTAGGGATCACTAGGGATGACTAACGATGACTAGGGATGACTAGGAATGACTTGGGATGACTGGGATGACTAGGGATGACTAGGAATGACTAAGGATGACTAGGGATCACTAGGGATGACTAGGGATGACTAGGGACGACTGGGATAACTAGGGATCACTGGCATAACTAGAGATGACCAGGGATAGCTAAGAATGACTAGGGATGACTGGGATGACTAGTGATGACTGGGACGACTAAGGATGACTAGGGATGACTAAGAATGACTAGGGATGACTGGGATGCCTAGGGATGACTGGGATGACCAAGGATAACACGGGATGACTAAGAATGACTACGGATGACTGAAATGACTAGAGGTGACTAAGGATGACTAGGGATGACTAAGGATGACTGGGATGACTAAGGATGACTAAGGATGACTGGGATGACTAAGGATGACTAGGGATGACTAGGGACGACTGGGATGACTAGAGATGACTAGGGATGACTAAGGATGACTAGGGATGACTAGGGATGACTAAGGATGACTGGGATGACTAGGGATGACTGGTATGACGAGAGATGTCTGGGATGTCTAAAGATAATTAGGGATGACTGGGATAACTAGGGATGACTAGGGATTACTAAGAATGACTAGGGATTACTAGGGATGACCAGGGATGACTAAGAATGACTAGGGTTGACTAAGATGGCTAGCGATGACTAGGATGACTAACGATGACTAGGGATGACTAAGAA